ATACAGCCGTAGCCGTTCGCGCACACGTTCGGATACTTCACGTGCGTCACGACGATCATCTTCGAAGCGTAGCATGACACGATCTGCGACGAGAAGTCGTTCGCGTTCTCCTCGGTCTCGGTCGCGTTCTCGTACGAACTCGTTGTCTGTGCCTCGATCGTCAGATTCTTCAAGACGATCATCGTACTCGCGAACACGATCACCCTCCTCGTCCAGTTCAACGGCCACTCGTTCACGCACACACTCTCGATCGCGCAGCTGAGCAATGAGCAAGTCGAATGCACGCCTCTAATTTCGAATGTATGCACCCTTTTTACATTTTATTGCATTTGTGCTTGTCACTGAAAATGAGTTCTGTTGGAAAATGGGCAGAAAGTAAGAACACGTTTCGTGCTTTTTTGGTCGTCACTGTGTTTTTATTGCTTGATGATGGCTGTTGGCTCGTGACGCAGCGATTACACGTTTATTCCCCACACACAGCGCTTCCTGCATTACTCCACTATTCGTTTGTTCCAGTTTCAGCTCGTTCGTTCTCTGTTTACATTGTTCACATTGCAACTTCTGAAAATAAATTAGATTTTGCCCTTGTCCAGTACAAGTGCTGTTGCTTCTAAAAACAGTTACGAGTGCTGCTTGATCTGCTCAAATTTCAGTGTCGAGGAATATTCTCTGTAAGCGAGCCGAGAATTCGATTTCGATTCGCTGGCAATCGGCTCGACAAAAGTCTAGTTTTGGGTTCCATTAAACCGAGTCGATTTGAACCAAATAAGAAGTTTGTATAGGCATACACTTGCTTCTTTGATACTTTGATCGCCTGGCATTTCCTGCGGGACCTGTTGATGCAGCTGGGAAATGTTTTACTTGAAGCTGCTTTGACGGATGGTCAGCTTGTTAAATCTGGGTTCGTACTCCTGTTTCGCACTTTTAGGGAGAAATGCTGGATGCTGTCGCAGTTGGGATGACCCTCAATCTTTTGGCGACAAATTCGTTGGTGCTGAAAGCCTCATCAGTTTCCTAAGTAACTCTGGGGCGAGGGAACCATCGACAGTTTCAGTAGTTATTGGTTTTTGCTGTGGCATATGTTACTCTCGGGCTATTTCCGAGTATCTTCGCCTTTCGAAGTGAGTACGGGAGGAGGTCTCTACTTCGGGCTTAGCATCGGTATATCTGCTTGTCTAATTATATGAATAGGAAATGCGCTTTTTCAGGTTCGTGCCGTTGCTGCCAATTCCTGTGCGATTCTGTGGTTTGTTTCGACAGGGAATTGCTAATAGTTGTCCAGCGTACGAGAGAGCCAAAACCACTTCAAATTGCCCTCGAGCAGTTTACCACATAGGGAACAGTCGATAATTCTTTTATTGGCAATGTGCCATCTCCATGCATCGGTCCTGGGTGGTTCCACTTCTTTTAAGGGAAAATATGCGAGATTTCCGAAGATCCATAAAGATAAATAAACGCGTAGGTGTGGTATTTCTCTAAACCGATGCACTTGCCTCGTCTCTGTGAGCAACTTGAAGCCTTTGAGGGTCAAAAGGGAATCTAAACTTGACTGATGCACGCCGTTGTGATGTGCAGCATGTGTATTACCAGGAATACCGAGTCTACTCGCACAGTCAGTGTGAGGATCCTCTGTGTTCGCAGTTGTTCTAGGCCGTTTATTATGCATTTTATGTTGTACAACCTCACCCACGTGTGACCCGGAAAATTTAAATTCAGCCTTCCTGTGCGGTCGGGTATTACTGCGACCCTGTGAAAGTTTTGGCGGGGAAAATTATCTTGGAACCACGAAGGTTGGGGAGCTGAAATTTTAGGGTATTACCTCCTGCCCACGTACGGTCCCGCAGATTCAAGTTCGGATTTCACGTGTGCTTGGGTCTCAACGTCCCCGTTAAGGGGATGGAAATTTCAGGAGGATATTTTCTACCCATGCAGGAGCCACACAGTATGCCGAGGTCTCACGCATGACTACGTAATTCACCAAAAAACTAGAAAATCAGGAGGTTGATCTTGGAAGGGTGTTCACCATCAAGATTTTAGTGGGAAATATCGCAACTTCGGAATCAGACAACATTTCAACTATTTTTGCACATACCAAAATGCAAAGCAATGGAGATCCTTAGCAGGCAAACGTTCGCTGGACGGGGCTGCGCAAGACGCATGATTGCGCCGAATACCTGGTGCACGCCGCTATTTCTTAATGTGGTTGTTATTGAGCGTGGTTTGATAGTATATCATGTTGTACGGCGCGTATGAAGCATGCATTAGGGCCTGCTTCTTCGTGGGCTTAAGAGGTGCTGTTTTATTATAAGCCCTGAATTCTAAAATAGAGTTATTATGATATATATAAATGTAAAAAATACATCAAAAATTCGATGAGTAGGGATATTTTAGTCCATCAATCCGTATCCAGAACTATGACTTCTTCAGTATGACGATTTATATATTTTGGTGTTGACAACATATATAAAATGATTTATAAGAAAATAGATTATAAATTGTAAGGGGATATGTTATTCTTTTTTCTCGATGCACTCGTGGCTCGATGTCATCTTCGTAGGAAACGGGTTTCATTTTTCGATTTCTGGAATGTTTGCTTATAGAACTGCGGCCCACGGAACAATCGTATATCGACAGAGGCTATTCAGATACTGACCTTCAGGTTTTTTGGCTGCTCAATAGCGATAGCGATGGTGGCTTTTCTGTTTGTGCTTCTATGGTGTATAGTCATTGGGCTTTAAAAGATTGGTGCTGTTTCAATTCTGCTAAACCGCCGATCATTCCAAGTCCAGTAATCAAAACACACATTAAAGATGAACAGGAATAATTCAGTTATCAAGCCATACGGAAATATTCTTATTCACTATTCATCTTTAATGTATACACTTTCCTAGTCAGCAAGCACCATAACTGGACTTTGTCTATATCCTACGAGAAGTAGTAAAATGAGATGCTTTCGCTAATGCTGGTGCTGAATTGTTCTGTATTCACAAGGCAATGAAGGAGTGGAAGGAGGAAGACATGTTGTACAATATTTTCGCAGTACGCCTAGCCAAATTCCATATTTTTAGTCCGCGAAGTCTTGTTGTGCATGTGTCACGCACTACAAGGTAACGTGCATAGCGCAGTCATCGCAATCAGAGTTTCCTTTAAAGCATTTGGCTAAGCATCTTGTGAAAGTGGTTTCGCAGTATTTCGCTCTACGATTCGTTTCGATGACGAGTTGGCATTGGCACATACCCACTCTGGAGCTAAAATATTGCATGTTAAGCAATCCTCGAAAGACAGCTGTCGACGATCTTCTAGCGAATATTGACCCTTGGTGCGGCGCCATCATTGGGGCTGTTTTGATGGGCCTACACTTTCCGCATGTTATGCAGCAGGAAGAATTGACTCTCCCTTGATTCTTACCTCAAAACTGGCGTCATTCGCTAAGTGTCGTACCTTAGAAAAAGTCTCACAGAGCTGCTGGATACAACTAAGTGTGTAACGCAAGGTTTTTTGATGAGTTTACGCTGATTCAGAGTTAGCAGTGACTTTTTTGGAGAATCACCGATGAACGGCAGCTGGACGAAGCAAGTATGTGCGGTAAGTGACCACTCGCGGCGGCTCGCTTTTCATTAGAACCCACAGCAACCCTTACTTTGGCACTTATCGACATGGATGCTACAAACGGTTTGACCCCACCGGGGCCACAACTGGCAGTTGGTCATCATTTGAATTGATCGATTCGCTCTTTACGGAGGAGGTCATTTTAGGGTCAGCCGAGCAATTGCCTGGCGTACGATCAGGATACCAGTTGCTGGTTATGCTTGGCTTATGCTTAATTTCACTCCGATGAGCCTCTCTGTCGATCTAGGATATGAAGGCTTTCTGTTGTCCATGGCACTTGTTCGCCTGTTCTTCTTTACGAGCGTCCAGTGGATCGTTGTAGCTTTTTTTTTCACGTGTCGCCATTGCTACTTCAACGATTTGTTCCTTTTTTATGCGTCTTGTGCTGCGTAACAGGAATACAAAACGCATATTGTCACGGGGTTTTCTGTGTGTGTTTGTGTGTGGGTGTCCGCAGCAACTTGTCCGCAACTTTCAACTCGGGAACCACAAAAGCTAGGAAGCTGAAAATT